GGGGCGATATGCTGACTCTGTAAACCGCTTAGAGAGGGCTGAAAGCCCTATGAAGCGGTATATAAGTCTAACTGCTATTGCTATTGCTATAACTGTGCACAGATCTAAGCACCCTGCAGGCCACATCTGGCCCCTGGGCCTTGAGTTTGACACCCCTGGTCTGGAGGAAAGGGGTGGGTCAAATTTCAGTACTGGAGAGCATGGATCAGTATCTCAGACACGGTATTTGAGACATGAAGACCAGTAGAAAGATTTGGAGATAATTTGTCTTTGCGTAGCATTGGCCTGAGTTTTCTTCCATGGAAGCTTCCTATTTGCTCCAAGAGAGTCTAGATCCCGAACACTTCCGGTTGCACTTCCGACACCTTCGGAAGCAAGGACCGTGAGCTCCGCGGCCCCGTTCCAAGCTCTGTTCATCGGAAGGCTCCGCCAGGAGCCATAGCCACCTTTAAAGGGGTGGTGAAATAAAGGGGGTCCACCTTGAAGGTTGAGGAGAGCTGCATCTCTCCTCCCTGACTCAAAAAGCCCCCTCATCCGAAGACGAGCAACGGCAGCAAAAATGGCTGCCATGAAGCTGGGGACAGCCGGAACATCTAAGACAGCGCAGGCACGAAGAAGGTGAATGGTGTGTGAACTGGGTGAGAGAATACTTTTAGTTGCAATCTGACCCCAAGAAATGCAAAGTCTAGATCCCATCAATTAAGTTTGCCTGCCTTCAGATGATCTTTAGAAATCTGTTTCTGCAAGCCTGGGGTGGGGGGATGGTTCCCCACAAGCAGCAGGGGCACACCCTTGCCCACTGTTTGTATGGCCCGGTTGTAAATAGCTATGCCCTACAGGGCTGCAGCCTGTGGGTTGGGGACCCCTGATGTAGATAACTGAACTGATCTTATTTTGAAAAAAATGACATTTTCAGTTTACCAGGTGTTTGAAAACGTGGCAAAGAAGTATGATCTCATGAATGATTCCATGAGTTTGGGAATCCATCGTGTTTGGAAAGACGCTCTGCTGCGTCAGATGAACCCTTATCCAGGAGCCCAATTAATTGACGTTGCTGGTGGGACAGGTAAGTGCCATAGAATCCTAGTACTGGATGGGACCTCAGAGGTCTTCTAGTCCCACTTCCCTGCCCAAGGCAGGAGTCCTTATTCCATCCCAGACAAAAAGTTGTCTAGCCTTTCACAATGTTCACCAGTCCCTTCCAGATCTAGTTTAGTCTGAGAATGCATAGCACTTAAATGAACCTCAATAGTTAATTATAACAACAATAAACATGATGTGTGTGTGGCATGGATGGCACTTCTCAGTCAACAATCCCAAGCTATTAGAAGGAGTGGTTTGAATGATTCATGTGCAATACCTTCATCCCTCCCTTCACGTTACTTAATTTCAGGAAAAGGAAAGCTCACCTTTTGAATCTTCTTTTCAAAACAAATTCAGGTGACATCGCCTTTCGATTTATCAATTATGTTCGTTCCCAGCGGGAGTATCAGATCCAGCAGAAGCTGAGAAGCCATCAGAATTTATCCTGGCAGGAGATTACTCAGCTTTATCAGGAAGAGGAGAATGGATCGCTAGGGGGATCCCACGTAGTGATCTGTGACATTAACAAAGAGATGGTGAAGGTTGGGAAGCAGAAATCGCAGCAGCTTGGCTACGTGGAAGGTAATAATCATTATTTCAACAGGGAGATTTAAATCAAGACTGGTGTGTTTGTGAAGATAAATGTTTCTGGCTGTTATTTGCTGTGAAGCAAGTAATCCTGGCACTCCCCTTTGAAGTATGACAGGGAAGTGTCAGGCCTCAAAACCAAAAATGACACGTGATGATTCTCCCCAGCTGGGTTCTTTATTGCTTTACACCTATAGATCAAATTTTGCCTATCTGCATCATATGCTCTGGGAACTATAGTGAGGGGCTCTCTTCACCCTCTTTCTCTCACGCTTGATATCCAGGCTGAGTTGCCTCTTACTCTTCTGGAATGCACCCCTCCCTCCTGGGAATTCATTGTACAGGCAGCCCTCGATATGCAACAATTCATTTAGTGACCTTTTGAAGTTACAAATGGCACTTATGGCCATTTTTCACACTATTGACTTTTGCAGCATCTCCATGGTCATATGGTTAAAACTCAGAAGATTTGTCAGAAATGGTGTAGGGTCTCCTACTTGGGCGAGGGGTTGGACTAGTTGACCTATAAGGTCCCTTCCAACTGTGTTAATCAGACACTTGGCAACTGGTTCATATTTATGATGGTTGTAGTATCCTGGGGTCATGTGATCATCTTTTGCAACCTTCTGACAAGCAAAGTCAATGGGGAAGCCAGATTCACCCAACATCTGTGTTACTAACTTAACAGCTGCTGTGACTCACTTAGCAACTGTGGCAAGAAAGGTGGTAAAGTGGGGCAAAACTTACTTCGCAGATGTTTTAGTGAGCAAGAGAAATGTTTGGCTGAATTGTGGTGTTAAGTCAAGGACTACCTGTAGATCAACCTTTGCAAGCATATGAGAGCAGGTAGATTTGTTGAATCTTTCTCCTTTTGCTCTGAAACTTTTCAATTGATTCAAACAAGGAAAAGGATGAAGGAGCTCAAGGCTCCAGCTTCTAGGAAAGAACCTCTGGGAAGCCTTTATCGTGATCCGGCTGGGCAAAAGAATGAAAGAACTTTGGAGTAAAGCTTAAAAGAAAATATATGGCCACAAGAGGGGTGTTTGGATTGT